TATAATAAAACCTGCACTCTAGAATCTATAATAACTACTACGGTCTAGTCCCCTCACGAAATTTGCTACAGAAACTAAGCAACAAAATAGGACAATTATGATATATTCAACAGTTTCTTTCAAACAGATAGCAAAAATTGTAAAGTTATTAAACGGAAAGCAAAATTTCATAGAAAACTTACAAGTTTTTAGCAGTTGTAACCCTAAGCAAACGAACTTCCCAATTGAAATTGATGGCCACCAAACCCAAATAAGGAAGGTTTTGACTTTTGAGAAGAGCAATTAGAAGAAATTAAGGATCTCCATCAGCAATTTTCACAAAATCTACCCTAATCGCTTAATTAGATGACTAGAGCGTGTTTTAGGGAAGAAGAAGTACGGGAGTTTTCATGTGATTTGGGTAAAACTTAACTTAGTTGGATATTTTCAAGCATAATTATTTTTTGGTGGCAGAAAAGATTTAGGGGGGAAAAGGATTTAGGGAAAAAGTTTTAGCGGGAATTCTTAGGGAATTATTAGAGCACACTTATATGGGGTAGCTTATACAAAGTTAAATTACCACGCCCAATAAACGTGGTATTACATTTGAGTAAGCGTAGCTAATTATTTTATTATTTGACAACACTTGAAAAGTGTAGTATTTACTGTTAAAAGTCATGCTTCATAAGTGTTGCCTAAAATCTGTATCCAAAAGTACTTGACAAAGGCCACACCTTATAAAGCGTCCCCACAGATACTTTTGGCAACACTTTTCAAGTATTGTCTATAACAGTGTGGCCTTAGGTCAAATTTGTTGTAGTGTCAATCTGTTTAACCATTAGCTCTATAATGGTTTTGGGACTTGGACAAAAAATTAAGTTATTACATTTTCGATTCTGATATAGTAACAGCCATAAATGTTGATCACAAATTCAGGCCTAACAATGTGGTCCAAATGGGAGTTTCACCGGCCAGTTATTAGTTATGAGAACCAATGCTGCATTTACTTAGTCACATATTGATTATGAGGCAATATAAGTTTTTATAGTTGGTTAAATACAAAAACATACACTTTACTCCACAATTTATAGCTGTCCAGTATCTCACCTACTAGTGTTCTTTTCACTACCGGAATTTATATGAATTAATCGATGCAATGATTATGCCTATCCGGGCATAATCATTGACCTAAAGCCTGACAGAAACTTAGGCTAATGTATTCAGATTAAGATAATGTGCAGACATTGATTAGGTCAACTGTCACAAACAAACTAACTAGGTTACCTATTTCGTTATATGGTGTAAAATTCGTGAAAATACCACAAACTAGCCGGTTTTTGGACTGATAATTGAAAAATAGCCAATATTTGCAAGGTCATTAAATAATAGTTATTGTTTTGCTGAAACACGGAAAGTTCCAACATGATATGCTAAATTATGAAGTTTCTGCGTACAAACTTCCATCATATTATGTTGGAATTCCAACACATTATGGAATGGGATCTTCCAACACATTATGCAGGAATCTCACATGTAAAAAATTCGAACTCCAATATATTATGCTAGAATTTATTGGGATTTTTAAGGATGTTTTTGTTTAAATTTTATCTTTACATAAAAAAGTAGCTAAATTCTGATTACTTTTTAAACCGCGACTATTTTACAATTACCAGTTGTCTGTCTATCTTTAAATATGGCGACTTACCAAATATTAATGGAAATGACGGAAGGCCCAAAGGCTTGTCTTGTGCACCCACTATAACAAAAGTTCCTTTAACTTTGAGCAGTTCTAAGTATGGCCCTTATATCACTGGAATTCAAAATGAACATGTGTTATATACATATTCATTGATAAGAATGTAAAGGGTTCTTATTGTTATGTTGGGGTATGTTAAGAAGCTTTACAGGAATCTATCATTAAATAATTTTTATCGTGTTATAAACTATCATTATTAACGGTACCATCAGGCTTACTATATACTAGATTATTGGAAATCTTAGAACATCTCAATAATATTGATACCATCCCACTCTATGCCGAAAAACTAGTTAATACAAAATTTCGTCGAGTAAACGAAGTAATAAGCTCGCAGCTTTACAAGAGTTAGAGTGTCCTCCCCAGTTACTACAATGAAAGATTAGTTGAGGAAATAAGGAAGGAGGCTTCAACCTAAGCAGAGTGACCTAAAGAAGAAATGGTCATGTAACAATAGAAAGTGGCACCTACCGAGGCTTCCGAGCCAGAGAGGAACACTATGTAGCATCGAATTTGCAAAATTTGAGCGTGGAGCTATTAGATAAAAGACTTCAGGAACACTATATCGCATCGAATTTGCAAAATTTGAGCGTGGAGCTATTAGATAAAAGGCGTGAAGCCGCCTTTATCTGATTGGCCGCCTAAAATTAGCGAATCAAGAGGTATTACAATCGAAGAGCCAACCTTTGACATCTCAATATCGGGGACTTGGTGCTAAGGAAGGTTCCACCAAGCACCCAAAATCCCAACGAGGGGAAACTAGGGCCGAACTTGGAAGGGCCAGACCAAATTCTCGAGATCACTGGAAAAGGATCGTGCAAACTCCAGGCAATGAACGGTATG